CAATTTTCTTTCTGTTGTCGAGGCTCTCCAGCTTCACTGAGGTCTTTGCAGAAAGAGAAGAAGAAAGCATTGAAAAGGGAAAGTCGTGCAGAGAGTGATGAGAGCTTCATGAAAACACAAGCTCATCTGCCAGCCTTCTTCTTCTTCTTCTTCCCATCCAGCGTTTAAACAGCAAATCAACTCACACACACACAAGTACGCACATCCAGGAATACACCAACTGATCAGACAGTGAGGGACAATGTGCTGTAGTAGGAGTCTGAAAACGCAGCCAGTTCAATCCAGCACTGAAACGTCTTAACAACAAGCCGTGCCACATGACACCTAACTGGCACTGCCGTGGCCTCGCAGCGAACTCTAACACACACCTGAGTGTGTGGGACAGCTAACCTGGCCACAGGCTCGGAGCCAGTCACCCGCAATATCACACTCCTCTGTCTGTTGCCATTTCTTTCTTTTTAAACTGGTTCTCTCGCTTCTTCAGACGCACACACACAGACACACACCATCCTTGTAGGCCTTGTGTACTTTATACATCCCTTCATTCCTCTCTCTCTCTCCCTCACACACACACACACGCAACACCCTCTTTGCAGCTCTGGCTGACATGCCAGACACGGTTGGAGTCCAAAAGCCACTTAGCACTAAGATGCAGCAGCTGTTTGCTCTGGCCTGCTGTCCTACGGTGCCAACTTGAGCGCCACGGAAGAAAAAGACACAGAGACACACTCCTCAGCCCACTCACATTGTTCCATGGCAACTGTGGTTTGTAGGATTGTGTTTGTATGTGTGTCAGAGACAGAGCTTCCCACACACAGGATACAGTTTTTGTGGTTATGTGCCTCTGGCGAAAACTTTAAAGCAGCTAGCTTTATTTCTGGAGGGATATGTCAATAAAGATCTTGAAAGTTTCTCTCGTAGCTCTGGTTATTTTAAAGGGCCTTGTAGCGGCCGCTCTCGGCCCCGTTACGCTCCGCTGCGATGAAATGTTGTCTTTGGCTGGCGTTGAAGGTGGAACCGATCGTAGTTCAGAGTCGAGCTGGTCAAGGGCAGCGCCAGGCCACACACAACAAGCACATACCAGGGAGTTTTACATGCTATGCCAGCCAAGAGGCTTGCTTTACACAAGCTGCAGGGCTGTGTGGGAGGATGGGTTGCATTTTTCTGCACAAAAGAAAAAAATCGTTGTACCAAGCAGAGCACTAACCCCAGCCGCCAACTTACCAAACCAGACATATTAGCCTTTCGTCATTTCCTGGGCAAGCCAAGCCCCCCAACCACTTTCACATCCATCCAACTCCCACTCTTCTTGCTATCCGTCACGCCAACCCTCTGCCGTTCCTCCCCCTGGCTGCCCAGGTTAGGGGCTGATGTCATGAGAGCGCGGGCAGGATGAAAAGGGGAAAAGCCGGCGAGCTTAGGCCCTGTGCGGCCATTGGACTGACACCGAGGCACTTGAAAGAAGAGATATCTCACTGGCATGGCGACAAAGACCCCTACCAGCCTGAAAGCCAGTGGCATGATTTCATGTTCCAGAAGAGCTGCCAAAAAACGCAGTGCATGTATTTGAAAGACAGAGTCGAGATGAAGGGAGCGAGGTCAGTTCTGAGAAAGTCAAGCAGCAGGGAGGAAATCACTACCAAGAATACTGTACGTTATTGACTGCAATAAATAGTTCAACTTGAGAACGGATGTGTGCAGAGGTGTGAGCATGATTTACAACATTTACAAACGCCTCCAGAAACGCCTACGGAAAGCAGATACTTGATAATCTGTAACTAAAGAGAGGCAACTACTTGCAGCTGTGTTCTGCGAGCACCAGGGCACCTTGCACTGTCATCCTTATATGACACCATAACTCAGACAACAAAACCACATCAAAAGGCAGTTGGCTACAGTAGGGACGGATTTACTCTTGGTGTTCCTGCTCTTGGGGGGAGGAGAAACTGCTGTGGCACACAAAGGTCAGAGGTTTAACAGTCCTGTGGCTCTCGCAGGAACCAGACAGGAAGTGCAGGAAAAAACTGTGTACATATATATGACTCGCCAGCACTTTGGTGTGGATTGCACGTGGACTTCAGAGGCCAGCTTGACCGACCCCTTTTCCTCCTCTTCCTGTGCTGCTAATATTTGCTGATGTCAGAGCATCTCTCTGCGACAGCAGCCTGATATCTTGTGATTCACTCAGCTGAATAATTTAGTAGAAATTTAAAAAACACACTGGTGATAGAAAAAGTATATAGGGATGATTTCCTGTGGAGAAGCAGGTCAAACCAAAAGAAAATAAAGTAAGGAAATATTCAAAAGAAAAATATCAAAACCAAAAATCTCAGCAGGGCTTTAGATTGTTAAATAAAGTTTCTAAAATGATGGAAACCTGGACCGAGATTCTTCCAACTGTGTCTGGGAGATGATAGCTCATCTCTAGAGATGCGTTCTCAATTACTTTTTTTGGTTTAAAAACTAGAGCCAGAGATGTTCTGATACCAGCATTGGAAATGTCTGTCGAATATGCCAGGTCGGGCCTTGTCGAGTACGTGAATCCATGTACCGATCTTTAAATTATATAACTTTCACCAAGATAAAACTGCAATTTTATTTTCCCATAAATCACTTCTTTTTAGCACCTCAAAAACTGCAGTTGTGGTGTTCTGCTACCTTCTTGTACTGTTTTCACAGCTGCAAAGAAAGGGTGATTTCCAGTAGTGTTAGCCAGAGCTAAACGTGAGCAATTTGGCAATATTTCAATCTGGAAAGTCCCATAAGTAAAACGCTGATGTGGGCCATATACAAGACATTTGTTTTGAGCTATTTGAAGGAAGTAACTGTCGTGTATTCCCAGATTTATTTATTTGTGCTCAGGTATGACTGTGAAACTATAACACCAGAAGTTCCACTTTAGTCATTCTGAATGTTTGTTTTTCAAATGGTTTAACCTGAGCCAGGAGAAATGATCATCACCTCATACAGGGTTAGTAGCTTACAGCTGTTAAAATACAGTATACAAGAGATTTCTTTTCAAATACACTGGTATTGGTTCTCTATCATCAACATGGTCCTATGCATCAATAAATTAAGATTTGGACTATTAAGAATAAATACAAGCCTCTTCCCAGTATTCCGCCGATGCTAAATAGAGGAAGTAATGCCCATTGGTCTGTGTTGGCCAGCTCCGAAGCACAGCTGGGGGGCCATGTGTTCCCAGACACTTTATATTTAGACATGAATCAGAGTAAACAGAATTTTTCCCCCTACAATTCCGTTTTGTGCGTTCACTGGGATTCTGTAATTGAATGGAATCTAAATTGACCAGACAAGGCCCTGACACTGTTGGTGGCAAAGTGGCAGCAAAGTGGAGTGGGCTCTTGGGTTCAGTCAGGGGCCAGTCGGATAGGGCGGGAGGGGGCGGGGGCTGCCGAGCATTAGGCCAGGCCAGGCGGGGTGAGTGTGTAAAAGTGGGCATAGTATCCAGCCTAGGGTTGGGCATGGTGACCTGGCTGGCTGGGCAGAGTAAGCAGACTGGCAGGGGGTAAACACTGCACTGTCTGGACTGGCAAAAGCGGCAGTGCCAACACAAAGCACCCAGCTGTGTTCGGGCCCCGGGCAAGGGTCTGTCAAGATGCAACAATGGGCTTTCCCTTCTCTAATTATAGTCCTGGCTGAATAAACACAGAGGAAACCGAGTGGTGTAGAGGTTAGGGAGGCTGGCTGGAGGCCAAAGGGTCACAGGCCAAGGTTCCTGCCATCCTCACTACAGTGTCCCTTAGCAAAACATCAAATCCAAAATGTATTAAAATGGCCAGATCATTAGCGCTCTGCTTTGATGGGTTCCACTCAGCGGAGGGTTTGGGTTTCTGGTTCTTGGGGTGTCCTCGTGACTCAGTCAGTTGAGGCACAACATTGTGGATCTGAATGTGGTAGAGTCCCCCTTTAAACATTCACTAACCACAACTTAAAATCACTTCTTTGCTTTCAGGCTGAAACCACATCAGCCTTACTGACCTACAGGCCTTTTGCTCCCATGACAATTACAGTAGCGATAAATGGAAAATAACAAGTTTAACCAGTTCAAGTTTCAGTTTCCCTGTGGAACTGTTAACTGCTCCTCAAATATGGATGCATCACTCCAGCGAAGGCCTCTTACAAGTCAGTGAACCCAAAACCGTGACATATTCTTAGCTACAGTAGAGGAGAAGTTTGAGTGCTGAGCATTAGGCCAGATTTCAGGTCTCAGCAGAAGTATGCCTCAGCTAGGTAGCAGCAACCGTCACCACAGAAAGTGCACCATTAGCATGTCTATACGCTACAAGGGCTCCTTAAATTATGAATGGCTGCTCTCTTTCTGTCACCAGGCATGCACACGATAAGTGAGACTATAGCCACCCCCCCCCCTTTCCTCATCCTCCGGGGAATGTTGGTACATTCCATTAAGAGGAACACTTAATTAAAGCATGATAAAATACCACTCGGAGACTCCAGAGGGGTCTGGGCACAGGAGGGAGGGAGGGAGGGAGGGTGGAGACGATGGGGTGGCGAGAGACGAGGGAGGGATTCAGTTCAGCCTTCTTCTCCCAGCAAAGGGAAGGAAGACAGACAGAAAGACAATAAAACTGAATCATCCTTCCATGAATTGTCTCTTTGACCACAAAAGACAAAAGACCAATTCTTAAAAGGGGAGAAGAAAAGGAGAAATAAATTCGAGGGGACTGAAAAAGAAATGAAGCAGAACTCAACATCTAGTTTTAATACCACAGACACGGTCTGCAGTTCATGATGTTAAAGCTTAGGTGGTTTTGCATTTCACTGCATTATTTAATCAACTTATCAATGTTATCAGTGCAGTCAGCTCTAGAACACCGATTTGTATGAACCTGTACAGAGCTCCAGTGTTAAGATTAACTTATGAACACTCATGAAACCTCTGTGTCAATAAACAAAGATCAACATTGATCAACTGGCACAACACATTCACTTGATAGAACAAACAACTGCTTCCTTACCTTTCCCAGAACAGTGAGACAACTGGGGTCCAGCTCTGGTTGCTCCAGCTTCACCACTCCAACCCAGCCATACTCGTACAGGTCCTCCTCATCATTATTATTACATAGTCCCAAAGGATGCATCTGCAAAGAAGACACATGAGTATTAATATTAGAAAAACTTGTCGTGCAGGTACAGTGTGAAGGGACCTGACCTCACTAGGTTATGGTTTTGCTCCAGGTGCGACCAACCAACAATTTATCATCCATTTCCCCGATTTTGTAAAATGAGATATAAGAGCTTTGTTCTCTGAAGAGAATTTGCTGTGTTTGGAAAAATAAATCAAGCAGGATCTAAAAATGCAGAGCTGCATCCCAGCTGACTTCTTTAAGAACGCAGAATAAGCAAAACAGGACTTTCGTGGATTTGCAAAAGAGGCAGATTTTCTATGAATTAAGTGCGTTAAGTCGCCTGCACTTCCTCCTGCTGAGAATGATGAATGTTGCTGCCATTTCTTTAATGTTCATGCATATATATAGGATATGTCATCTTCACTTCATTATTCAAACAAGCGCATGAAGTCTCACATCACTGTACACACTACTCTGATTAGGGCCTATCAGAACATCTTGACACATCCTCTCATTACACTTAAGACCACTGAATTGGCCGAGATCTCTGTGCCAAAAACCCCTGTGGAGCCCGAGGCCAGACAATTTCTTTAGAGAAGATTAAAGCTAAAGGATGGTAGACATCACAAACTGTGACTGACTTACTGCGCCCTCAAAAAAGAAAGAGGCAGCAGACCCTTTACTTCTAAACTAACAAAAACATTAATCTTGAAGCATTTATCTCAAAGCACTTCCGCTACTTAGCTTGAATTGTCTTGATTGTGGGAAGATTTTTAGAGAATAGCTCAGTGTAAGACAGGTTAGTCACTGCGACTGACACTGCAGACTGTTATCTAATAATCAATGTGTATGTGCTCGTGTGCACGCCAGAGCAGGCTATGTATCATGAGGGACGTTAACAGATAACACTCACAATCACAGCAGGCGATCACTCCAACTGAGCAGTGCAGTAAAACATGTGAAGCAACACAAACCAAAAAAAACAAAAAGTAGTGGACGTTTGCGGCGGTTCATGAAATAATGATTTGCTCAAACAAGGCTGGATTAGAACTGTAACCAAGCAGAGCTCCAAAATGCTGGATCCAGCCCCCACCCTGGCAACAGTACCAGCTTCTGTATTAGCATTAGAACTTGGCCAAACTGACCTGGAGGCCACTTATCCTATTAACCCAATGACCACAACACCCCAATCAGCCAGAACTGTGACGCCAAGCCCTTGGCCACTGGGGCCCCAGGGCCACTGCTGATGACCCAAGATACCTTTCTCCCTCTGGTGACCCGTGATCTTTGAACCCCACTTCATCACGTTGGGAGCAGGTTAGACGTGCAGCAGACCAATTGAAGAGATATTCAGAAGGCGCCTAACTCAATTCACTGCTGCAGGGTCAAGCCCCTGACCTGAAGGGTTTTTGGGGAGGACTCAGCCAAGAGTAAGGGGGTCAGATGCAAATCATGTGGATGGAATATGAGTCATAAGAAATGAACGTGTGCCATTCTGCAACTTTTCTTTCTCTCAGGGAGAAGAAATCTGATGAGGAGAAAGTGGATGCTGAGGTGGAGAAAGAAAGCATGTGTCCTCGACAGATCTAAGATGGAAGAAGATTTGAGACACTCGCATTCATGCCTGCAAATAGACATTATTATTATACACATACCTTTAAAGAAAAGGAGGCTCATCTTTGAATCCTCACACTAAGGCCTTTCAAACACAGATAAATGTGAGTATGATGAAACGTGAGATTAACCCTTGCCTTGAAAAAGCAGGAAAATACAACTACGAGGTCATCGTGGAGACAAGGCCACTCTGACTCAAAACACCTTTTCAAAAAAACCACAGGATGTGCTAACCTTGTCCGCCTACATTTCAAAGATTCACTGCACATTTTCTCAAAGCTGCTTCTTCTCCAACAAAAACCAACATGAGCAGAGTAGCTGTGCTCTGGACGACTGTTTGGAAGATAGATATTAGCCTCGGGCTGACAGGAACAGGGAGGCAGCACAGGTATACATTACATACACATTTGGTATGATAATTTCAGAGCGCTCTCTCCATCTCAGCCGCTGGAAGACACCAAAATTGAAGGGAAAGACGAAGATAAAAGAGCATAACCTGGTCAGGTTTCCATTCAACCTGCATTCCCCGACCTATAAACTCTAAAAATTCTCCAGAGCATACCAGCACATCCCAGTCAACTAAGGTAACATTTTGTATTCCATAAGAGATGCCCTATGAGAAGGCTTTTAGGCAGCATGAGAGCGGAAAGAGTCAGTGAAGGAGGATCTAAAGAGAGCCTGAATCTGTCCCCATGTCTGAGTCGATCTGAATGAGGACCAGGATGCGGAGCACTGCTTGTTGTGTGATTATGACCCCTCTCTTCTGCTTGTCTAACTGCTTGGACGGCAGTGGGGAGCCCCGCCTGCACCCTGGGTTCTGAACACTGGACCATTGTGCGGGGGCTCCTTCACTTCAAATGGGACAATGTTGTTGTTGTGGACTATGTTGTTATTTTAGAGGCTGGCAATTGCACCATTACCTCCACCACAGGGATTTTTCCTTTTTGTCAGATGTTGACGTAAACGTTGATGGATGTGGGGATGGGGAGCATGAAGAAAATTATCTTGGTAAGGAAGAAAGACGGTGATCCGGTGAAGTGGGTCACAGCTATTGGCCATGCACACAAAATAGTAATGAGCACATATGCACACGTGCCTTCACACAAACACACACACATGAAATGACAGAGACTGTCCCCTCTTGTGTTCCAACTGCAAGGTTCCCCTGCTAGGCCCCAAATCACACAAGCTCAGCCCACTGGAAACACCCGGTTGCTTCACTTTGCTCCACTTAGCTCTGCTCCTCCATACCCAGGGTTTTAGGTGAAGGGCATCCGGCGCCCCCGATGTGCCACGAGGGGGCGGCTCTTGTTCTGCCCTGTCTGTCTTGCCCCTGGGGGAGGCAGCCTTTCACATGAATATCCTGTTACACAGGCCACACTCTCAATGAAGTCCTGCCGGGGATTTGAACTCCACCTGTCACTCAAGCTGGACACACCGCCCTGCCAACCCCCAAAGCTTCTCTACAAAATCACCTGTAGTGGAAATGCTCACGCGGGATGATTTTTAATTTGCTCGTCATGGCTCAACTTCCCATTAAAATATATTCTTTATTTTATTAGATTATAAATAGTGAATTATTTTGTTTCTCTGTGAATCCAAAGTTAAGTTCATCGCAAGTGCTCTTCCTCAGTTGATACAAGTGTCATTTCGCATTTTATTCCATATTTTTGTCAATATAGTTTTTAAACACTCCTATAAATACAAAAATGTGACTGCAAAGCAAGTCGTCATATAAAATAAATAAATTTTCCATAAGTTGAAAAACTCTTTCAACTCCGTCACTCCCATTCTTTTACAAACAAGTGCCCTGATAACAGTTGGTAACAGGATCAAAACAGGGCCCTCCTCCTAAAAACTCCCACCGCAGGCTCCCCTGACACCCCCACCTCCTTGCACCATTCTCTCCCCCGGCTCTCAAAGGAAATCAAAATGCAAGTCACACCATCCAACGCCATTCTTCTCCGTCTGTCTGTGACACAATTCGCAGAGGCTTTGATCATACAACACCCACTTCTTCTGCCCCTCCTCCCGGCTGCCGCACCCCCTTTTTCCTCTATCCCTCTAAATTATTGGTGGCCCCGGTTACAGCCCCCAAATCGCCCTCATCTGTCCAAAACAGTCACCCTCCCCTGCACTCACCATGCTATATCGCCCTTGCACGAAAGAGTTCCCACCTGCACAGCCCTGTATGAATGAGTGGTTTACTAATGTTATCCTCATTTGCCCTGCAACATTAAAAGTAGTTGTGGTCACCATGAAAAGGGGCGCATCAGCAAGTTTTCTAGCTCTGCATAACTTTTTAACTAGTCTGCATTTGCACATAAAACATGAAAAACCTGTCTTTGTGACAAAGAGTATTCTCCTCTCTTGCTTTTAGCGCCACCGGCCAGGAAAACCTTGTGAACCTGTGGCTGACGCTCACAGCGTACAGAGATCAAAAATTCTGGGAGAAGTTGCTGAATTGCATTTCTATTTAAAGTCTCGCAATTGCTGAAATTCGGTGCTCTGAGTTCTGTGCATTGCAACGAAACGTCTATGCTGCAACACAGCAGGAGCTCGAAACATCAAAAGCAAGTGGGCGGACTGGAAAGAAGAATGATCCCTGAGCTAAACTGATCTACACAGGATGCAGACATACACTTGCATATACATCCTTACAACATCAACTGTGGAAAGAAAATGCAAACACCAATACTTTCCACAGAACTGAGTTCCAACACGTCTTGTTGTGGCATTTAGGTCACACCGAGGACAAGTTTCTGTCATAACAATCAAAGCTGCCTTGTAGTCTGAAGCAAGTGCCAGCAAAAGACAATTTTTACAAGCTGCTCTTTGTGAAGCTGGCTAAATGATTAACCAGACAGATCTGTTGTCCGCTGGTTTCTTTTATGAGTTTGGGAAGAAGAGCTGGCACCTATTTCACATGCACACAAAATGTAGAAGAAGAAAAACCTGGGCACGGCGCCAGTCCTCGCACCCATCTGCTTCCCCAGCGCCGCGCATGTGTTTACGTATCTCGCTATTTGAGCACAGACGCATGTAGGGAGTCGTCTGTAGTCTGAAACACAACATGGGTGACCGAGGGGTAACTCCGTGGCATCTCTCACGTCACTCGCTGTGAACTCATTCACCCCACTGAAGGAGCATCCCGCCCACCTACCCGGGCCTTTAATTCAACTGCCCCCTCCCTCCCCCCTCCGCAGCACTGTGCTTCAAACTCCCTCAATATGGGGAGTGCGGGGTATTGTCAACTTCCTGGAATAACACGCCAGTCTTGCCAGCGGAGGTGGCAGGTGGTTGTGTCGAGGGCTGTGGGGACGGGATGACGAGGCGGGTGCGTCTGATCACAGCCCACAGACCAAGTCTCCCCAGGGACCTGCGGTGCAACAGAGTCA